TCTAGCCTGCCATTTCTGTATCTGAGCTGCTTAGTTTAAAGCTAGGTTGGGTAAGCTGGGCTGCAGTAACACATCTGTATTACACTGTAGATGTAAAACCAGTAGTATCAAACATATGGCTTGCAGAGCCACTGGACCTGGCCTGCCAGACTGGGTGTGACCTGCTGCAGAATTTAGGGCCCTTGGGCTCTTGTGGACATGACCGCAGGGCAAGCATGGGCTGACAGCCCTGGTGGCCCTCCAGCTGTTTTGCTTATCACCGCTGCCATGGCCCTACCTCCCTGGCCCCTGCCACATGCCCAGTGTTGGAGCTGCCACCATGGCACAAGACACACAGAAGCCTAGTTCCAGCTCCAGCACAGGGCATGTGGTGGGAGCTAGAGCCAAAGCTTCCATCACCGTCACTTCCTTATGCCCAAAGGAGCCCAGTGGTCCAGATCCAGCCTGGGACACAAGGCGAGTTTGACACCCCTGATGAACCCAAAGTCACTCCGTGGTTAGTCACAAGTTCACTAACCTTTTTGTGACTCAGCCGCTAAATGATAAAATTATCAGACCCTGAAAAATATTTTTGATAGGTATGGAAGAAAATTATATTAGAAAGTGCCATGTATTCGAATGATATTTTATAATAGTGTTTATCTAGATCTCTGAGAATAAAGTATGAGAGATTAAGTGCTATCTTTGTTTTAGCATAGTAACACACTAATTGAAGTTACTTTAGCTGATGCTAACCAGGCTGTCCTCTCTTCCACTCAGCAGAGGGGAGGGTAGTCTGAGTATAGTGTCAGGAGCCAGTTACTTTGATTCTGGCAAAAATTCTTCCTGTATACTTTGGCAAATCATTTAGCCACATGATATGATTTCACCTTTTTGTATGTAGGGAATGCTATAAAATAGTTTAAACAATGATTTTCCTAAACATTGTTCATAACTTGCCTGGTGTTCATTTGCAGCTAGCGCACAAGCAGCTGTTGATGTATGCATGTCTGATGCATACCAGCAACACACACATTTTCTAGCATGGACCAGAACAAGGGCAAATCCAGGATTTCCCGAAGTGGGGGGTGGGAGCACTACCCCCTGCTTTCAGCCTCCTGCCTCTGCCAGCAGAGTTCTGTGGGAGTCTCCTGAGATGTTAAGTCCCTAAAGGAAGTGAGGGCCTGGTAAATCCCTAAAGCAGGTCCCCCTCCCTTCCCTTTCATCAGTCCCCTTTCCTTCCCTCCCCCTCTCTTCCTGCCCTTTCCCCACCAGCTGCTGCTGCTACTTTCCATGCTGTCAGAGGGAAACTCCAAGAGCAGTTTCTGCCTCCTCCAGCTGAATTGTGCTGAGGAAGGGAGGGAGGGACAAGGGCAGTGTGGATGGGCAGAGGTTCCCTCTCTCCAGCCTGCTCCTGGGGGGACAAGGCTGAGAGGGGGAAATTACTCTTACCTTGCTGTTGCCCCCATCCCAATTCCTGGCTGAATCTAGAGCTCCCTCTCTACCACATTGCTGCAGCCCAGCAGGGGCACATAGAACTGGGTCTGGGGAAAGCAACAGTGGCAGCCAGTGGTGGGAGAAGGATTGTATCTGAGCACCAAGTGAAAGGGAGTGGGTTTTCATCTGCTTTAGGGCTTTAAAAAAGTCCCCAGAGGCTCCCAGGGTATGCTCCAATCCAAAAGGAGGGTGTAGTGGTGCCACAGCACTCCTCCTGGATCTGCTCCTAGACCAGAATTTTAATGGAAGCATTAATTACATTCTAAAACCCCTGCAGAGATGCCTTGACTTCCCTGGAATTTTGTCTGCTTATCCCAAGGCTGAATTTGATCCTTCAGGGGCAGAAAAAAACAAACTATGGTTGGAAAATTAAGAACAAATTTGTAATGGCTCACTTTAGACAGTTACAGAAGTGCTGGAGTTGATGTTACAGTTAGGGGCATCTAAAACTAGACTCCCCAAAGCATACAATGAAGAAGAAATAGTTCTGCAATTGCAGTGGGAAATGGATAATGTGGCTAAATAGTTCTCACTTACGTTCTGTCCAGCCATACTGGATGTGCACCTCTGCTGCCTGTTTCTGCTGAAGTTATCAGCAGTGAAGCACTTCATTGATATTTAAAGTTTAGTCATTAGAAACCACTAGCTTTACATCTAATCTATTTGGGAAAAAAAGTTACAAATAGTTTTAGGTAGTCTAGCTCTACTACCCTATCAGTTTTTATAGGGGTTTGTTTTGTTCCGGTTTGTTTACATTTAAAGAAGAAAAATAAAATGAGAAATTTCCTGTTTTGCTCTGTAAGACTTGCACAGCTGACTCAGTAAGGGAATCTTTGAAAATTAATATGTAGAAAATGCTGCCAAATGCACAAATTAAGAAGGCGGAAAATTTTTCTAATTTGAGATCTTGCAACAAAAGTATGTCTAAATCAAAAGGAAATGAGCAGCAGGATAGTACTGTGAGTACTGCAGTTAAGGCACTAAACTAAGACTCAGGAAAAAATAGTTCAGTTCCCAGCTGTGCTTCAAACTTCCAATGTCATCTTGGGCAAGTCATTAAATTTCTACATCTAAATTCCCAATGTGATAAACACGTGTACCTATACTTCTCTACCTTACTGGAGTGTTGCAAAGAGAAATGCTAATACCCTCCAGGATTTTCCCCAGTTCAGGTGTAAATATCTCAAATAATATGGTTTTAACAACTCCTTCCCTTTTGTAACTATTCCATAACTTGGCAGATTTTTCTCTTTGGAAGTTTTTGGTAATCTTTCTATTATTATTAATTAATTAAATAGAAATGTAACAAGTAGGTGATGAAGGCTTGCTTCACTGGCTGACGAGTCAGGAGTCAACATCATGATAGAGAATGCAAGATAGTGGATCTAAAGGACTTTGAAAGTAAAGGCAGCTAAGAAATAGAAGTGGAGGTATGTGGAATGGGATGACATGGCCAAAGTGACACATTAAGAACCTATTCAGTCTTTTGCAGCACCATTCTGAATGGATGTAAGTAGGGCAAGATCAGTTATGTCAGGGCTGCAGAGAAGGTGGTTTCTGTAAACAGAATAAAAGACTATAAGAGTTTTAGCTTTCTGGATGGATGGGAAAGGCTGTTTGTATTTTGGAGAAAGAATTGGAAGGCCTTAAAAATGTTCTGAAGGTAATGACTGAGAAGAGTCAAAGATGGTGCCTGTATTAAGGGCCTGAATGATAGGCAGGATAGTAGTGTTGACTGTGATTATCAGGGATCCATGTTTTCCGTTTCCCACAGAAAAACGGAGAAAACCACGGATTCCCTGTTTTTATCGGAGAAAACGTGGATTTCCCTTTTTAGCAGAGAAATCTGCGGATTCTCTGGTTTTGCAAAGAGCTCTTGCAGGCTTGTTTCTGATTGCAGAAACAGTGGGAAATCCCCAGCCCCGCTCAGAGGGAGAGGGGGAAGGGTGGGGCCTGAGCCTCTGAGTCAGCCAAGGCTGGGCTCTGGCTCAGACTCACCCTTCACCCCTGGAGCCTAGAGGAAAGTGGGGCTTGCGGGCTGTGGGACAGGGTTGGGGAAGGTGGCTGAGGGAGCAGCACACTGCAGCCAGGAGCAGGGCCGGGGGGTGAGGGCAGGGGTGCCCCTCTGCGGGGGGCTTTGTGGGTAAGCGATGCAAGGCGTGCGTGCCACCTGGCTGGCTACCCAGTGGAGGGGGAGGGGGAGGCTGGTATGTGGCTGGCTGCACAGCTCCATGGCCAGGTCTGCAGCTGCAGCAAGGGATGGTGGCGGGGCGGGGGGCTTTGCACGTGGCAGCCGCTGCTGCTTACCTGTAGGGCCGCCTGTGCCAGTGGTAATGGACGCTGCATGCAAAACCTCCCTGCGCTGCTGCAGAGCCATGCCTGAAGCTGTGCGGCCGGCTGCAGGGGGGGACAACCGCGGGGGGCGT